AGCTAACACGACCAATACAGGCTCAAGCACAGCTTCGGCCACCGGGTCGGCTCCGGCTTCTGGCTCGGGGTCGAATATAAGCGGCGGGCCTGCACTTCAGATCAGCGTGTTAGAGCAGGACTTCCAACGGATGCAGATGTCACCAAGTCCTCCTCCGGCATACTCCAGCATCAACCCAGGCGGTGGAAGCTCTTCAGCATACCCCAACGAGAAGCAGCGGCCAGCCCAGCCAACAAGTTCGAGCTCGTCGACACCAGCCCAACCTACCCAAGCCGCATCGTCGCCGCCGCCTAAGAAGCAGGCAGAAGTAGCTGCCGCTGCTCTTGCATCTCCGGCTCTGCAACATCCCGGACATCCCGCCTTCGCGAACGATCCCAGACCGGAGCTCCAGCAAAACGGTCAACCGGTGCAGCAGACCGTTGTTACTCACACTCCCTCCCCGTTCCAGGGACAAGGCCCTACTTCGCCGCCGCCACTGCCCGAGGGTTGGATCGCGCATCTCGACCAGAACTCGGGCCAGTACTATTACATCCATCTAGCTTCGCAGGCTACGCAGTGGGAGTTCCCCAAGGGTCCTAACCCTATCCACCACGACGCGCCGCCTCTATCTCCTACCGCGTCCACCTACGGCAATCCTCTCGGCTCGCCCATGTTCGGCAAGCAAAGCGCCATGGCCTCGCCCATGTTCCCGCCGCAGACTCCCGGTTACGCCGAGAGCATCATGAGCGTCGCAACAGCCACTCCGACGGCGGCAGGCTTCACGGGACCGCCTCCCGGCGCCGGCGTGGACATGTACAAAGTCCAGCCGACCAACGGCGTCTACTTCGGCCCGTACCTTAGGTACACGAACATGGACGTCGAGAAGGGGATCTGGCACGGAAGCGTCCTCATCGTCACCGACGCCCCCCAGCCGCCTACCATCCACATCCACCGCAGCGTCGACCTATCCCCGAACCCGCGACAGCTAGTTCCCCACACGATCTTCACGCACCAGAGGTGGCAGTTCTTCAAGTACGACGTCGACCTGCAGATGGGCGACGGCGCGACGGAGCGGTGGACGTACGCGGTGACGTCGCACCTGGGGTGCACGCGGTACGAGTTCGTCGTGGCGGGGCGCAGCGAGACGGCCTGGCGGTTCATAGCGCACTCGGGCAACGACTTCGCGGCGTCGACGTCGCAGGGGGAGCGCAGCAAGCTGGGCGGGCTGGGCTTCATGTGGAAGGACGTGCTGCAGAAGAACGTGGACTGCGGCGGCTTCCACGTGCAGCTGGGGCTCGGCGACCAGATCTACGGCGACAGGCTGTGGAAGGAGGTCCCGCTGCTGAAGCAGTGGCTGGCGCTGCCCGGGCGCGACAACAGGAAGAACGCGGCGTGGACGGCGCGCCACGAGGAGGACGTGTCCCATGCCTATTTCCACTTCTACACGAGCCATTTCGACCAGCCGTTTCTGAGGGAGGCCTTTGCGCAGATCCCGCATATCTGCCAGATCGACGATCACGATATGTAAGTCTTGTCTTGGGTGATGGTGATGATGATGATGATGTGTGTGTATGTTTAAGACTGACTATATGCTAACTTGAACCCCCCCTAGATTCGACGGCTACGGCTCATACCCCGATTACATGCAGAACTCGCAGATGTTCAAGAACATCGGCCGGATAGCCGTCGACATGTACCTGCTCTTCCAGCACCACACGACGCTCGAAGTGCTGCGCAACGTAAGCCACGACATGGACCTGTTCACGGTGACGGGCCAGGGCTGGCATTTCATCAAGTACCTCGGGCCGGCCGTCGTCGTAGCCGGCGTGGACCTGCGGTCGGAGCGGACGCAGACCCGCGTGCTCGCGGGCCCGACGTACCAAGGCTTATTCCCCAAGATCGCCATGCTGCCGCCCAGCGTCCAGCACTGCCTGTGGATGCTGTCGGTGCCCATCGTCTACCCGCGCCTGGACACGGTGGAGAGCCTGGCGAACACGTTCGCGACGGGCAAGAAGGCGGTCAACACGACGTACAACGTGCTGGGCAAAGTGACGAGCTCGGTGGCGGGGATCGTCGGCGGCAAGGAGATGGTCGCCCAGGGCTTCAGCCAGGTCAAGAAGGCCGTGGGCAAGTCTGGTCTTATGGGCAACGTTGTAAACCAGTTCGGCGACTTGGATATCGGCGAGATCTTGAAGGATATGTGGACTCACGATAGCAAGGACCTCGAGCGGACGTATTTGATCCGCACGTTGCAGGGGATATCGCATCAGAAGGGGTTGCGTATGACCTTCTTGTCGGGAGGTATGTCTGTCTATTTACCTACCTAATCTATCCTCCCTCCCCCCTTTTCTTTTTTCTTTTTCCCTTTTCCTTTACGTACATACCTAATATATACCATCACTTCTCTCGACTACACCTTTACTAACTTGCCCCCCAGACGTCAACGCCGCCGGCGCCGGCCTAGTCCACGACCCAACACACCCCAGCGACCACAAGACCATGTACCAAATCATAACCTCGCCCATCGTCGCCGCGCCCGCAGCGCAATACATCCTCAAGATGCTGCACAGCAACCGGACGCACTACGTGCCCGTCAACGGGCAGCGGTCCTCGCCCAACGAGGTCAGCGACACCAAGGAGGACATGATGGAGATCTTCCACACGGACGCCAGCGGCGCGCCCCGCGAGCTCAAGAAGCTCATGGGCCGGCGCAACTACGTCGCCGTCGTGGCCTACGACCCGGACGCCGTCCCGGCTACCCCCTACGGGCCGAACCACCAGGCGCAGCAGCTGCTGGCGAACGGGGGGGTTAGTCGGTTGAGTCTCGCGGTGGATTTCGTGGTTCAGGGCGACGGCGCGTTTACGACGCCGACGAAGTATGGGCCGGTTATTGTGCCGCATTTGGAGTTTGGGAGGTAAAGTTTATAAGAGATGAGATGAGAGAAAGGGAGGAGTCGTGAGTGAGTGAAAGTGTGGGATGTGGTATGTATGCATTGAGTTGGATTACGATGACATGAATGAGGAGATATGTGAGCGCGTTAGAAGTCGAGAAAGCGAGAACGAGCAAGCGAGCGAGCAAGCATGAATAATTTCACTGTACGGGGGGAGGTTCTGCAGGCCGGGAACTTGCGGTCTGGTGCTTGACTTTTTGAATATACAATACATATATACCTGGTTAAGAGGTAGGTTATGGAGGTAGTCATGCCTGAATGAAATCAAAGTTAAGAAAACGGCCTCTTCACAGGTGTAATTCTAGGTCGTAAGATATTTTGATGAATTGGCCAATAAATACTAGAGTATATGTCTTGGTCATCCTCATAATTGGAAGCATCTATTTTATTTTATTTTTATTCTGTGTATTTTGAGGGCAGCGCTTTGAAGGTATATAAATATATGTCCGTGAGTTGCCTAAGCAAGCACTCTCTACTCTCTTTAGATTCTCTTTTTTGTTTTGTTTTATTTCATTCATGCGCAAATGCAACATGGTCTAGCCAGATCTATCTATCAGGCGGTTCTCGGTCATCATCTTTCTTCATTCATCATCCATCATCGTCGTAGGATTCCCTGCTCCTTAGCTCGAGCCTTAGATATCGAAGGTCTCCTTTATCTGCCTCATGCAGTCCTCGGGGCCCTCGACGGAGTGACCGATGGTGCGGGGATCGACGTAGATCTCGTAGTCGTTGCCGCCCTTGCTGGTCTTGTCGCCGAAGAAGTGGATGTTGGTGTACTGGATACCGCCGGGCTTCTTGGCCTCGTCTTCGAGGTGCTTCAAGCAGTACGTCTTGTCCCAACCCGTAGGGAAGACGTCGAAGGATATTTGGCCACCGATCGAGAAGCTAGATTAATTTAGTAAGTCAGCTTGGGCTATTCTCTTCCTTTACCCCATTATTCTATATTGGGATTGATATAAAGGGAAGGTCAACTCACGTTAGACCCAAGTGCCCAAACTTCTCCCTCATCTTGCCGACCATAGTCTCTCGGATCTTGTGCTTCTCGTCATATGCCTGGTACTCGTTGCGCTCCTGAGTGCTAGCATTACGGCCGATGGGAGAGATGTTGACCATGCCGTTGCGGAACTCGATAAAAGTACCTCGCTTGATAGGGATATCGAGGTCGGCAATATAGTGTAGAGTCCAGTTTGCGAGCTCCTTGTAGTTGTCCTCGCCTAGCCACTTGATGAAGCTATTTGAGGGTAGCTCGGCACCCATCTTGTAGGCTGTCAGACCGTTCTCGCTGAAGCAGAAATCGAACATGGAGGTGACGGGGCGGTCAGCAGCGCCTAACTGCTCTTGCTGCTTGGGTAAGTTCGATCCTCCTACGAATCCAATGGCGACCTTCTGTCGTAGCCGCTCGAGCGTGCGAAGAACCTCGGGCGAAGCAGCACGGCGCGCCGGCGTCAGTGTCTCGTCTACATCGAAGAGGACGATGGTGTTCTTGATCGGGCGGTCCTCTAGGGGAGGATAAGGAGGGGCACCGGCGTCCATATTGGAATTTTAGTTGTTTTTTTCTTTTCTTTCTTTCTTTCTTTAGGCACAGTCAAGGAGTTAACAAAGTGAGGAAAAAGAAGAAGTCGAAATTCGAGTTCGTTTGGGACGCGTGTCTTTAATCTTGTGAAAGTACGTATCGCCTTCGTCTTCGTCTACGTTGAAGGTAACTGCGTCTCTCGATGGTAAGTAATTAAATACTTGGACCCCTGAAATCGAGAAAATGGAGGGGGAGGGGTTAAGAGGTACTTGGTGTATTGGCGCAGTGTACAAATACACTAAACTCGTGTTAAACTGTGTTAAAATGAAGGCGGTCAGGATCAGGGTCAGGGAATGAGGGGGAAAGATGCACCAATTGAAGTTCAATATGTCCCACATGCTCCACACCAGCGCGACTAGTGTAGGTACTCGGTTCTTTAGTACAAGTACCATGTACCTCTTCCTGGGGATTAGTAACAATGGAAGTACATTAGGAACGTACCGAAATAGGGGCTACACTTACACACTTATTTACATGATATCTTCATATATCAAGTTCATACTGTAACTATTGTAACTATTCAGACCTAGTGTATCTCAAACGTCTCAATTTCCAGCTCGCCTCTTTTGACCATCTCAGCAGGCTTTTCATCTAATAAGCCTACAACAAAGCATACTCCCACATGTACCAAATGCGAGCTTCCATTCTCTTGCAGCTTATCCTTCCTTAGGAGGATTGGAGATGGAGTTCCGTCAACGGCGCAGACAATATCCCCAAGTTTCGTGCCGCTAGGTCCACTACCTAACCTACCATCGTAGGTTTGGAAGAGAACCGCATTTCCTTCCACGCGGCGGACAAGAAAATTGAACTGCTCCCAGTTATCGCATGATCTGTAGACAACCCTTCTCACATCCACAAAACAATTTGCCATAAACCCTTCCAGTCGAACTCCCCAAGGAAGCTTAAGTCGTCTTCTTGCATCTCGTCGTTCGTCTTCGGATAATACATTACCGCCGAAGAGTAGTATGTTCAAGAACGTCCAACTAAGCCTGGGCAAGTGGATGCCACGGGAGTCCTCAAAATGAGAAACATCATCATTCAAACCATCCCAGCACAAAGCGGTTAGGAGGGCCTGCAATGGCCTTTTAAACATAATTTGCCTTATCCCGGTTGTGGTCTCACCAGGAATCACCCAATCAACTAGATAGTCAATACAGAGTTGATATATCATTTTCCCGAATTCCCTACAAAGCCTTGGGATGCGTTTAATATGTTTTATAGAGCCGCATGCTGCTCCCTGGATGAGGAGGATTCCCCGATTAACCATCTCCGGCTCACGAAGACGAACCCCTTCTAGCAACTTAGGCCTCGAAAGCTGCCCAATTTTAAACGAGGGATCGTGCCACGATGTTGACTTGGTGAGGTCTGGTAGCCAGGAAGGAAGGTCGTGCTCGTTCTCCATATTATGACCAAGCCCAGAAAATTGCAAATAGGCTCCCACCGTATCTTCCATAGCGTCGCGTAAGAGGGCATCGAGATAAACATCTCTTACAGACTTGGTATAGTCTGGTATGATGTCGCTAGAAACTATACTGAGCACTGCGTACACCACTTAGATAGCCAAGGTTAGCAACTACTCCTTGTAGTAAGATATCTAAGGGAATCAGGCATGTCAAACTTAACATTACGTACTATCCCGGGGGTCAGTAGCAGAGGTATGCAACCCCACCACAGCGATTTTTCCAAACAGAAACACGGAGTCGCTCAAGTTGTGTTTGTTGATGATCGTCTCCAGATTTAACTGTGACAGCATTGGGGGAACCGAAGAAGCCCGCTCTATATAGCTATTCACAAACTTATCTTTGCCGTCAATTCGCATAATACCCATTTCATCTTCTACCGCAAATAGAATCTTCTCTATTACATCTTGCACCATCATGTGCACCACACGCCACAGCATACGGCGCATTACCGTAGAGATGTTTATCTCCGAACATAAAAACAGTCCAAATATATTTAGGATGGCGGCATCAAATAGAGCGATTTCCCTAAAGGTGATAGAGTCGTGACCACAGATAAACCAATGTTCTACTGGCGACTTTGCTAAGGCCATTTCTTGGACGATCCATATTCTCGTCCAATAGGTGCACCTTGATAATTTCGCCAAAGGCTTCAGTCTTTCGGGTTCCGAGACCAGCCAGTCAAGGATTGCTCTTCCCATACCGGTATGGCGTTCGTCTGCATCTCTATTCCGTGGCTGAGAGATAGAGCCCACCATGGACAAGAATTCACGGATAACCGGAAATACAGCGTCGAGATGCCTAAGTCCGGGATCTTCAAGCCATGAAAAAACCGAGCTCGCATTGCCAAAGATGGTCCCCATTAATGTTACTTGGTGACTACGTTCAGGGGTGTCTTCCTGGTTGATACAAATAGCGTCCACCCAGAGAAGACGTATCTTTTCTGTGTTGTCGTGACGCGGGAAGCCCCCTTTTCGGAAATACCATAGCGCGCACGCGAGGTTAGTAGTCACGGGAAGTATGTGCCCGTTAACTAGAATATCTCGTGTGACCTTGGGATCGCCCCAGACGTAAGATAGAGCAGCATAGTGGAGATCCGGCGTCAATTCAGCGGTTCGGAGCAGGCAGCTCACCGACTGGTCATCGTCATCAGAAGGTAGGATTTCGATAAATCTGGCCTGGTTAGGCCCAAGAGGAGCGTAGATTCTAGCTTTCGAGCTAGGAGAATTCGATTCTGAATTTGTAGCCATGTTGTGCTAGCAAGAATGAATTAGGACCGTCCAAAAGGGAAAACTTACAAGACTTCATGGGATTGATTTTCAAGTAATCTTTTTAATAGTCCTGCGGGGTCACTTCTGATCGAGCATGTTTAAAGGGGGCTATATTACATACCTTATATTTGGCTACATCTGTATGAAATACGACGTGGGATATATTGAAAGGTAAACTAGTATATGCTGTTGGTTTCCATCTTATGCGAGGTTGTTGATTCGAATACAACCCAACAAGAAAATTAACCAATGAAAGGTAACCTGATATACATGTATAATCAAAGCAAGTCAGCTCGGCAAAGCTAATTCAGCACTACCTATTATCATGAATACCTTAGGTTATAATAACACATACTCCTCTATATTATAGCTTCGTATCTAGCGAGCTTGTCGCTAGGTATGTATATCTTGTGTAAACGACGCGCGGGATTACTGTATAGTTCTCATACTAAAGCGCGAATCAGATCCGAATAGGACGATTTTGTCTACTCCTTGCAGTAGAATCTTCTGGCTATCTTAGTACACACCGCCTTGTTAGGCGGCGTTACAGTAAGGTATTCAGGTAAGATACTTTCCCAATATTTACCTCTGTTAATAGAGATAGTCTAAGTAGGTATGATATAAGTGATTTAACATTACTTTCAAATAAGATCAATAGTCTCGCTAATTGGATATACTATAGCACAAAAACGTAACAATCCCGTTCTGCCGTACTAATATAAAGTCAAATCGAAACCTCTATATCCGAACCTAAAAGCCTTTACGCTATTTCCTGCCAGACTCCTGCCACTTCGACAACCAAGTTCGCCACCGTGCTGATCGACCAAAGTCCGATTAGACCCCAGCCAATCTTTCTACTCATAACCCATTTGTTCATCGGTACGATAACTAGCAACGCAAACAAGGCGACAAGCAACGTTATGGCAGAGATCATCAACGTCCCGCTGACCTGGATACGGTACGGTTTATAGCGTATCGGCCTATCGGGGTGCTTCGCTTTCTTCTTATTTGCCGCATGTATCGTCTGGTACGCGCCTCCGAGTCCAATGCCGAGGAGGATGTTCAACAGCGGACCGCCAAAACAGGCCGATCTATGAAATGTTAGCCAAATAAACACTGCTTTTAGTTTAGGTGTCGACATACAAAGCCATGACTGGGTATCCAAGTCGTGCGACAGTCACGTCTGCGACAAGATCCCCCACTGAGTTACCAACCGCAAAGATGGTAAGACCTAATATTGCTTCTGATATATCCAAAATGACACCGAATGCTTTCAGTACCCCGACCACCTCTCCAGCTATTGTGGATATCCAGGCGATCGATATGCAAAAACCTAAAAAACAGAATAAGAAGTGGTATTTGGGCCGGCGATCGGGCGACGTAGTCATAAGTATAATTCCAAGTAGAACTAGGGAACAAGCAAGTGAAACCAATAGGGCTTTTATGAAAATTGGGACGGGTTGGTCAAGATCCTCGACCATATTCGCCCAAACGATGAACACGCCGAATAATGGACCGGTAAAAACTTGGACAATTAAGAGCCAACGATTCCACCCTTGTTCATCTTCACCTAGTATTGAGCTATCTTGTAAGAGGTCTGGGGCGGGTTTTGGGATTTGCACGTTTGACGGAGGGGGGTTTGGCGCTACTTGAATTTGGTCTGACCCCTGAGTATTATCTGGTGCGGTCACAGAGATGAGACTGGGTGAATGGCTGCGACTAGAAGCTCTAGACCTTGCGCGTCGTCTATATCGTTGCCACTCCGTTTCGGGTTCAATAGAGCTACCTAGCTCTGTGGACACCGGTACTGCTGTACTTTCCAGCTGGCCTGATATTGGTTGTTCTACAATGCTTTCTTCTGAGCCCTGGTCTGTTGCCTCGGTCTCTACCACTGGCAACGTGATGACCAGTAAGAATATGCTTGGTACAGATATGATACTGACAAATCTATCCCAGATACTTTTACCTCTCCAGTCTTGAAGAGTTGGGAAGAGAGTATTAACTATGACGTGTGGTGGGGGTAATATCCGGTAGGGCCACCACCTAATGGGCTTCGAATTTGCGTGTTGGACAAAGTTAAGAAAAGAAGGGCTTCGTTCTTCGGCAGTGGGTGGAACTATTAGGTGCGGGGGCTGTTGAGAAGACTCTGAAAGAACGAGCGGTGATTCCGTAAATGCCGGAAACGGTGATAATGATGGCGAGGACCTTTCGCTGCCATGCGGGCTTGGGATGCGGAGGCGATGCAACTGTGGGCGGAGATTCGGTGACAGATCCTCTGGAGCAGAATTATCTGCGTGGAGGCCACCGAATTCGTCACTGGATGGAGGGGCCAATTTCCCCCCTATGGTACGTGGGCTGGGGTTTCTACCTCTATCCTCTGACGATTTTCGAGGTGCAAGGTCAGCATCAAGATAAATTGGTAGGGCGCCGGACGACTGCGCTCGGTTCCTGGAGGCAACAGAAGCATCATCGATGTTTTGAATCGTTTGCGTGCCTTTGGCCCCTTGAACGACTATGTGTCCTGTCCGTAGAAGATCGGCGGAAGTACTTCGAGAGTGGCATAATGGCCGCATACGAACGTTTCCTTCCTCCTGTAGCGATGATAATACTGATCTGAACTCAAGCGCACCAACCAAACTAGGCCGAATTGGGGTTATGGTCGTGCTATTGCTTCTCCTTCCGCGCGGGCGGTTCACACGCATGCTGCTTGCCATCTCCGCGGCGACATGCTGGTCGCGATCAGCATCGTCATCGTCGTCGGGTGCACCAACCTCGATCCTGGGTCCTCGTTCCAGTATACCAAAATCGGTAGTGCTAGTCCCACTCCTCGCCGAGGAACGACGTTCCATGGGCCGTGGGCTTTCATCGTCTGGGTCGTCTCTATAAGGTTCTAACTCGTCATTGCTACGTTCGCTTGCCGGTGTATAGTAGTGGCTGCGAGATAGAGCCTCCTTAACTCGTCGTGCTCGTCTTCTTTTGGAAACTGCGTGCCAGCCAACGACAACGATGACGTAGAAAATGTAGAATGCGATCATGACACTGCATTCCCATAGATGGAGGTTTCCATCGGCCAAGAATCCCATGGCGAAGCCGACAGCTGCTATAAAAAAACATATATCTCGCACGAATGTCTTTCTACCGACTTTGAACTCGCGCACTAAGGCCATAGAGCCGGCCACGACGGATGTAATAAAGCCTGCGGCACCGATCAGCTCCCCGACGGCCATGCTACCACTGTTAGAGCTCATGGCAGCGAAGGTGCTAAACACATCCGGAGAGCCATTTCCAAAGGCCAAGAAAGTGACACCAGCAAGACTTTCACTGAGGCCAAGGATGGTGGCAATGGTACTGAGATTGACGCTAAAAAAGTCGCTCGCAGCTATCCCGATGGTGGTGAATAACAGTCCTAGCCAGAGGGCCAATACGATAAAGGCAAGAGGCTTTACACGTTCAAGGTCGCAATAATAGAAGGTTAAATACTCTATGAGACCCGCTTCGTCATCGTGACAATTGCGCCTTACAAAGGCACACTTATCGTCGGCCTGGTGGACTAAACGACAATCTTCGCCAGATCGCGGGGATAAACTTGGTCGCTGTTCTGACGATGACGATAACGATACTGCTGGTCCCCGGATAAAAAGGCTACATGTGGCGATGAGAGTGAGGATAAACAGAGTAGTATAAAATGGACGGGAAGTGAATCCCCTCCTCCCACGCACAGGGGTATACATGTTTAAGTTATCCCTGTTGGCTATATGTTAAACTGCCATCGTAGAGATGGCGTATATAAGCTTATAAGAAACGAATTGGTAATTGGTAACTGGTAATTGACGAACTTGATAAGAGAATGGTTTGTTATAAGGAAGTCTATTTTGACATGAGGGATGGGGAGACTTAAGATTGAATTGGGAAAAAAAGAAAAAAGAAGAAGGAAGTATAGGAATTATTGTAGGGGCGATATCGAGTATCAAGCGGTGTCGAGATGACGATTAAGTATAGTAAACACTTTTATATACCTATATTTAAAACAGAAGGTCGACGAATTACGCGATAGATACGCGGTAATACCTCTCCAGTGGTACGTCGGGTCGGGTATGTTGTATGTTTTCTTAATTGACGTGGACGTCGAAGCTACGCCTGACGATGACTTGTGACGATGACTTGTAACTTGGCTAATGCATCACTACCGTTCCCAAACCACCGGGTTCCAGGGCAATCGCCTTGGTTGCCTCAAACGGACTGCGTTACACTGACGTCAAGTATGCAAAGTTGAATGGTAAGTGAACATGGGGACATGGGGTAAGTCGGCAGGTCGGTAGATATCCCAAGATAAAGACAGTTTGGAAGGTTTAAACGATTCGAGTATGTACGATCTTATTTGAATTGGTTCTATTGCATTGGGCGAAAAGTCCCACTTAGGTAGCGTCTACGTAGTTGCCAAGCAGCCAAGACAGGCAGTCGGAGTTTTCTTTTTTTTGTTCTTTCCCTCTTCCACCTGCATTTAATGGATGAATTAGCCACACGCCGCGTGTTATGGATGTACCTTAGTACCCTTACCACCAGTGATGTGGCGTGGATTTACGATGCGGGATGGTGGAAGGAACCTTAGGGAGGGGCTAAGGAGACAGTATCGGTAGCCCAACCTTACCTAAGCTAATCCAGCCCAGTCATATCCCAGCCAAAGAGGTTAGCGCATTTCCGATTTGTTTACTTGAATGTTTGAATGTTGCGCAAAGTTGAAATCAAAGTTGCCGGTCAACCTGTCAACTCGGAAAACGCGAAAGAGACTTTTGAAGCGACCTGCATCTCAACCCCGACCAAACAATTCGCATGTAGTCCCCCGATTTTACATGTAATACAAAAACAACAGCCAAAGATGCCTCGAGTAGCTCGTGCCCCTCGCGCCAGCGCAGGCAGTAGAACGACAACTGGTTCTTCCGGTTCACCATTCAAATCTCCCCTAAAGTAAGTCAACTTATTAATTGTTTACGCTGGTCGCTCAGCTGTCATGACCCCCCTAGCAACCAAAATCTCACGGCCAAATTCTAGAATCCCCCTTAACGACGACGTCCAAGA